GGTGGCAATTAATTGTATGCTTATTTATTTATTGAGCATTTATTTATTTATGTATTTATTTTTAAATATGGCAGAGTTGGTCCTCCATAAGTATCGTGGCAACCCTAGTCAGACGATACTCTTTTGCAAAGTAGGCAAGGCAATTTGATTTGTATTGCATAATTCAGTAAATGGAAAATTCAAAGTTCTTTACATGAATTAGATAAAAAAAATAGAAGAAAAATAGAAGCAGAAAAAAAGCAATACATTTGTAAAACAATTGGATCACAAAAAAAGCAGAATAAAAGCAAGTTTTTAAAAAAAAAGTGGAGATGTTTCCTCCTAATCCTTGTCACAATATTTAACAAGAAGGAAACAAATCAGCATAAATACCTTGCATTCACTCTAAAGCAGGAGGGGGTGAAGCTGTGAGGACCAGGGCTACAGAGAGGAGGTGGAGCAGCTGGTGGGCTGGTGCAGCGACAAAAGCCTGATCCTGAACATGTAGAAGACGAAATTCCTGGGGGTGCACATCACAGACACCCTCACCTGGACTGTAAACACCGCCTCACTGGTCAAAAGGGCACAAAAGCGTATGTACTTCCTGCAGAGGATGAGGAGAGCCCATCTGCCCCCACCCATCCTCACCACCTTCTACAGAAGCACCACAGAGAGCCTTCTGACCAGCTGTCTCTTTGTGTGGTGTGGAGGCTGCAGTGCCTCAGACTGGAATGCTTGTCCCGAGCCCGTAACATTATAAATGACCCCTCAAACCCCACCATGGACTATTCTCCCTGCTGCCCATTCAATGCAGATTCTGCAACAGCTTCTTCCCCACTGCTATCAGACACCTGAACTGCTGAAAAAACTCTAAATCATGTCACAGACTCTGCATCAAACTCAGAACACTCAACCATAAAATACTGCATATCTGCACCATGTATATTTAATGCTCTGAACTTCCATAGAAATGTGTTTTTCTTCCCACACTGTTCACATTTGATCACTGCTGCACTTTATGGAATGGAAATGTTCATTTACTGTCTGAAAAGCTGTATTAAACCAATTTTGTTGACAATAAAATTATGATAAAAGTTGTCTAGGTCTAAGGAGCCAGGATCTGCAGGACGTGTCAGCCTTGCAGATGCTGAGTTGACCTTAAAATCTTCTGTTTAATTATTTAAGAATCAAATGTGAGACCTTCTATCTGACCTTCTCAGTAATGAGAAAAAAAAGATAAACCTATAAAGAAAAGATGAGCTCGAATCAATGCTGCAAAATATGGTTCTAAAAGCTACAGTGGTGCAGTTGGTTTCTTGGCATCTGGAGTTAAAACGTGTGCCGTTGTTGTGGCCCAGCTTTGATGACACACACAAAAAAAGAAAGTCCACAGATGCACCATGGACTAAGTAATTTATGCAGGATAAAGAAAAAATGTTCCAGGTAAACTTCTTCAGTTTTCTCTGTTTATTTCTGCTCAGGCAAGCAAACAGAAAAGGAAAAACATTTTCTCCACGCTTCTCTTGCGCTGGTAAAAAAAAACATACGCCCACCCAGATGCATACTGGTCCTACCATTGACAGCCAATTTATAAAAAATATTCGCCTCGTCTGTTCCTGTTGGCTGTGACACCACCCTGGAGAGAAATATCAGCTGTGCTGCTGCAATCAACGCCTTTGTTTATAGATGTTGGCGATCGGCCTGTTTTTCCAGTGTAGTCCTGTTTCTCTGACTGTGACTGGCTGGATTTGCTCTCTCCTTCCTCTGACATGGGAGTTGGCTCAGAGCTCGTCCGCCTGGCTGTGTGTTTCCTGGATGGGGCTGCCTTTTACAGCTGCTTTTTCTATGTCTGCATCTGTCTCCTTGAACCCCAGTCGGCCTCAGCAGATGGCCGCTCACACTGAGCCTGGTTCTGCTGGAGGTTCCTTCCTCACTGAAAAAAAGAATGCATTTACTTAATCATATTTAGTTACTTTAACACAATTGTTTTATGTCCCACCCTGCTAACATGAAACAATCGTGTTAAAGTGACTAAATATGATAAAGCAAATGCAAAAAAAGCGGTTGCATTCTTTTTTTCAGTGCTGTTAAAAGGGAGTTTTTCCTCTCTACTGTCGCTACAAGCATGCTCAGCGTGAGGGATTGCATCTGAGTCAACGAGTTGATGCAATCAACTGGTTTTCCTTAGATAGAAAACTGAATCAATTTGACTGGATGATCTTGAATTGTAAAGTGCCTTGAGATGACTTGTGTTGTGAATTAAACTGAATTGAATTCATCCAAATTAATCATAACTAACCAAAAACAAAGGAACGTGACTAAATAACCAGAAAACATAATCTCATAACAGATATCAAACAATAAAGTAGTATAGACTTAGCTAGATTATCCACAAAAATAAGAAACTACTAATTGGCTCCTACAGCCATAAAACATGTTTTTATTCATGATTTGTTTTAAACCGTGACAGCATGTTTATATAAATATATATAACATATTTAGTGCATCCTATAGCGATAAACGGAGGTTTCCAGGCCAGGAGCCAGAGAGTTGTGGCTTTCAGACAGACAGATCCATTCTCCTCTGGGTGGAAACCTAATGGAAGCAGGCAGCAGTGGAAGTGGGAGAGAGAGTGCGCAAAAGGCAGCCCCATTGGTTAGCGGGGTCGCTGTTAAAGCCAATCGATGTGCTGGCGGAGTCGTGAAGGGGAACGAGCGCGAGCGCGAATGGGACAAATGGAAGCTGATAAAAAGGGGCGCGTGCCTCGGTTGGCTCGCGGCGGGACGGACGGTGGAAAGCAGAGCGACAGCAGCGGTAAGAGGAAACGCACGCGCTCCAGCAGCTCTCATTGGAAATGACTCAAATATCGCCAGTCGGAGCGTTTTCTTCCAACTTATTCTATTTACTAAATTGTTTTTATTTTTGCCCAACAGCCTCGAGCTCAAGACGTTTCTTTTAATTTTGAAGTGAGCCAGCGTTTCCAGAGAGAAAACGGTAAAATCTTATTTTTTTCAAAAGATTTCCTTCTTTTTTGTTTTCGTTGTTGTTTGGTAAATGACGTATATAATTAGTCATGTTTTGATGTGTTTCTCCTCCTTATCTTTGTTTCCACTTTGCGGTGGAAGCATCTCTCTTCCTTTCTACAGTTCCGTTTCATTGTGTGTCGAGTTTTAAAGACTTTTCTTCACCAGTGATAACAGGACAATTGCATTTTTGTTCTCTTTTTGATGTAATGATGAGATCAAATCGAGTTTGAAAAGATTATAAAATGCACTTTAGGTTTCAGACAGGTTGAATAAAAAAAGGGGAGGGAAGAAACATTTGAATGAAAGATCAAAAGCCAAGGAAGCTCTTCAAACTGTCTTCTGCCATTAGACAATCAGTTAGTTTATTTAGCAATGAGGGACCAGACCATTGAGTTTAACCTAAAGGTCACTCTGATGCATTAGGAAGTAACAATGGAGCTAGAAAACCTGCATCTATTTAATGTATCCACTCAGAATAAGCAGGAAAGTCTTTGTCACTTTCTCTATTAAGTGTTTTAAATGTTTTAAATAGGGGTAAATAGTCCCCACTACAGCTTAGAGGCATTATTTACCATCTGTTCTGGTGTTTGAAATGTAAAGTGCATCTCGGATGGACTAAACCAGTGGATGAGTGACTGTGTGCCACAATGTGATCTGGTTCATCACAATGTCGCCTCCAACAGCAGATCAATCGAAGCATGAAAGTGGGGATTTATAGCTGATGCTTGACACAAGAGTTTATCTGCTGTTTCTACTGCAATGACTGAGACAGAAACTACATCCTCTTTAACCTCCAAGGTTGAAGGGTATGTTAATAAAGCTTTCAGGATCTGTAAGCGTTATAAATAAAAGCTTTATTCTTGATGCTTATTTTTTGAGATTGAGATTAAAAACCTCTTTTTCAAGAGGTCATTCTCGTTCTTCTTATATTTACGTCATAAAAATGACACAATAATAAAAAAATGTTACAAGTCTCAATTTAAACAAAAGAGAAACATTAGAATGAAAGATCAAAAGCCAAGGAAGCTGGTTTGCTCTTCAAACTGTCTTCTGCCATTAGACAATCAGTCAGTTTATTTAGCAATGAGGGACCAAACCATTGAGTTTAACCTAAAGGTCACTCTGATAGAGAGATAGATGGATTAGGAAGTCAAAATGGAGATAGAAAACCTGTATCTATTAAATGTATCCACTCAGAGTAAGCAGGAAAGCCTTTTTCACTTTCTCTAATCACAATAAAAAAATTTTTTTTACAAGTCTCAATTTAAACAAAAGAGAAACATTTACTAACAAATCAAACCAAACATTAATGATGGTGAGGGAATGTAGGGAGGGTATTATAGAGTATTATAGCCTGACGTAGTCCTACTCAATTCTAGTCAGAATATGAGTCTGATACTGCTCCATAGAGCTGTGATTATGGGGCGTGTTTCGAACAAACCAGGAAAAAAAATGCCTCTGCACTCAATTGGATAGACCTACAACCAATAAGAGCAACGGAGTGCGTGACGTATGTTAAGCGACGCACAGTTGTTGTCAACAAAAATCAAAGCGTGCAGTTGCACGCCTAGAATAGGAAGATGAGCGTGAACGATTTTTGCCGGTGTTGCAAAAAGAACCTGAGGATACAAGGAGTCATTCAACACACGAACCCCATTTTTAAGAAAAACAGTAAAGGCGATTGCACATACAATCAAGTTCTCCGTTTAGGATTACAATTCTACAAAACGTCAAATAAATCGCATTGCATTTGTCGGTCCAGTCAGAACGTTATAACACGGATGGAACGCGACATGCTTGTGTTAAAAAAATGGGCAGACGACGAAGGAGACCTGCTGGAAGAACCGTCTTCATGCCTTGATCGCGTTTCTCTGTTCCTCTTTTAAAATTTATTTGCTGTCGATATCTTCTAGAACAGACCTGGTAGCAGAATCTACACACCTCAACTCTCCAGCGGCAGCCATTGTTGTCACCCAAGCGCGCTTTGGTGACGTGGTTTATTACGTTACTGTTGATCATATGTCCATCATCGTATAAAGCCCGCCCTGACAATTTGATTGGCCAGCCAGATATTGGGCGAGCATACTTGCGCTACTATTGAGCAATGCCAGACCGAACTTCCCGACCTCAAATGTTGTGGGCGGGACTAAGTTCGGAATGGCATCCAGGCTAGGAGTATTAGGGCAAGGCTAGAGAATTTTTTTTCTTGTATTTCGAGAATAAAGTCGTAACATTACGAGAATAAAGTTGAAATATTACGAGAATAAAGTCGTATAATTACGAGAATAATGTCGTAACATTTCCTCATTTTAGGGAAGAAAGTACTTCTTGTAGTAGTTGTCATAAAATACAACTTGTTTCTCATAATTTTAGGACTTTATACCCTTAATATTACGACTTTATTCTCGTAATTTTATGACTATTCTCATTGTGAGTTTTTTCTCGTAAATTACGACTTTGTTCTCATTATTTTACGACTTTATTCTCGTAATTTACGATTTTATTCTTAGAATTTACGACTTTATTCTCGTAATGTTACGACTTTTTTTATTTTATGACTTTATTCTTGTAATATTACGACTTCATTCTTGTAATTTTTAGATTAGATTAGATTAAGTTTTACAACTTTATTCTGGTAATGTTACGACTTTATTCTTGTAATGCTACAACTTTATTCTCGTAATTTTATGACTTTAGTCTCATAATTTACGATTTTATTCTCATAATTTACGACTTTATTCTCATAATGTTACAACTTTTTAAAAAATTTTATGACTTTATTCTTGTAATATTACGAATTAATTCTTGTAATTTTTTGGTTAGATTAGATTCAATTTTACAACTTTATTCTCGTAATGTTACGACTTTATTCTTGTAATGTTACAACTTTATTCTCGTAATTTTATGACTTTATTCTCGTAATTTTAAGACTTTATTCTTGTAATTTTAAGACTTTATTCTTGTAATTTTACAATTTTATTCTTGTAATGTTATGACTTTACTCTCGTAATTTTACGACATTATTCTCGTAATTTTACAACTTTATTCTTGTAATGTTACAACTTTATTCTCGCAATTTTACAACTTTATTCTCTTAATCTTATGACTTTATTCTTAAAATAGAAGAAAAAAAATCTCTAGCCTAGCCCTAAAACTCCGTCGTATGTATGCACATATTGGCTAATGCTAAAACAGGAGCTGATCTATCAGTCAACCTCTAGTCTGGACTTTGACTGGACCATTTCCGCACATTCACTTCATTTTTATTAGCCATTCTATTTAGGACCTCATTGATTTTGCAAATTTTTTTTTAGATATATGTGTTTTTTCAACCAATATGGTGGTTTTATTTAGATGTTTCTCTACATTGATCAAAGCAAAGTTTTGTTGGGCTCAATTGCACAACGGCACAAGAGTAAGCAAGATTATCTGCCATATGTTGGGGCATAAATAAGGTCCGGTCAGTCAGTCTAGTATCAGGTGGGTTTAAGAGGCATTTTTCGCACCATTATTATTATTATTATTACATCTGCAAAGAGAGGTCCTAGTCCACCATTGCGTAAGGGACCCAACAGGTTTCAGTGACGGGGCCCCTAAGAAGTCAGGGGCCCCTAAGCAACTGCAGTCTCTGCTTACCGATAGTTAAGCCATTGGTTTAGCTACTCTATAAAGCTTGAAACTTAACGCTGATCTAGAGATTTTGAATTGAAAATACTTCCTGGATGGGAAGCGAAACGTCTTCAAACTTGAAAACCATGCCTAGTGTTTTTTTTTTTTTTTTTACTTTTTCGGAATAGAAAGTACCCGTATAAGCAAAAGCTTAAAGCTAACAACTACATAGACATTCTGACGTCAAATAAAGTGATTTCTTTTTTTTATTATTTTGCCACCCATCTGCCGACCATTTCATCTTGTTAAAGGTCAGGGCAGACCTGGACAAACCAATGGGAGAATAATTATGAATTATTTTTAAATGATAACAGTAATAATTAGTGTTTTTAAAAGTGGTGAATCTTAATTGTTTAGTTAAAGCCTTTGATTTGAGGGAACTTTCGTTTGTTTCCAATTGGAAAACGATTTCAACCTTTTGATTTTTAGACTGATATTGCAACGATCTTCGTCTGGTTGAAATTCTTTTTAGTTTTACTCACTTTTGAATCAGTTAAACAACAGAACTTCAGCAGTTTCCCTTGAAGCCGGCCCCCCAAAGCATTTGTGTCGCCTGCGCGTGTTGGGCGGGTAGGATCCCAACAGATCGTTGCGCTTTTATTCTCAATGCGTGTTGAAACAACACAGCACATCCAGCTGCTGTTCCCAAAGCTTTTCCAGACTGATGAGTCAGTGATTGGCTGCTTGGTGGAGCTAATGCTGATGTGACTGACTGCTGCGCTGCCCGTTTCTTTCCGAGACTGTAGATGGTTTAGCCTGCGGTTGATGTGTACATGCCCTGTCTGTGTAAGACAGACTGGTTTGTTTGTCAGTGTGGGAACTGTGGAGATCATTCAGCTGGCACTGAATAACACAGAGCATTCTGTCATGTTTGCTTCTTTGTCTGTGTCATTTAACTGTTGGTGTTCTTCTCATAGGGGCCTTTTCTATCAAACCGGTTCTATTAGTTAACTGGTGGTATTGCTGACAAAGCAACAATTCTCTGTGTTTCAACTGAGACAAATCCCCTGGACCAAGCAGCGATAAAACACTGCTCTCCCAGCTCAACAAATGTCTTGTTCAGAAGCTAGGTAGGGGCGGGCTCATACAGACCAGCAGCCAATCAAAACAGAGGGGGCGGCATGTTTAAAACTCAGTGAGAATGAAATGTTCGAGCCTCAGAAGAAAATAAGCTTTTCTGATTTTCACCATCTTAGAGTGAATGTGGAATAATGCAAGGGTTCCTAAGTTGGGGTTGCAAGATTGTTTTCAGCCAACATGATCTGATCTATCTGGTGAATCTAATATTGGCTAAAGCTATGTTCACACTGTAGCCTGAAGTGACCCAAGTCCGATTTTTTGGCCCAAATGCAACCTGTATCTGATCTTTTCATGGCTGTCTGAACAACACAGATCTGTATTTTTCCATTGTGACACAGGCCACTTGGCTATGTGGTCCTGAATCCGATACGAATCTGTTCTTTTCAAATGCGACCTCTGTCTGAACGGCCAGGTCGCATTCGTCCGACCTGAACCCCACTAATACCCGACAAAGGTCACTATTCTGGGTCTTGCTATGAAGAAGCGGCAAGAAAAACAACAACCATGGCGGAAAGCAGTATTTATGTTTAACCATCTTGAAAAGATTGTGTCTTTATGGTAGGGAAAGATTGCTAGATGCACTACAGCGCTACCATCCATGCTTCCTTCTGTAAACACAGAGCACGCTAGCCTGTGATGTCATTGCATCCTCTACTGCGCATGCGGGACACTTGCATTGTAAGACTGCAGTTCACACAGGAGATCACATACAAGTCGCATATATTTGGAAATTGAACGGCAACGCAAAAAAATCGGATTTCACAAAAAAAATCGGAATTGAGCATCAAGGCCTGGAGTTTGAACGTAGCCATTAATCTTTTAAAACCCATTTTTACCAGCAGGTGGAGCCATTGCACACAGCTCCAAGCCGCCACCAAAAGTTCCAAACCCCACAGCTCTGGAACTGCAATTTTCTGCATTTGTGGTTGACATGATGTAGAACAAATATAATTAGGGCTGCAACTAACGATTATTTTAACAATTGATGAATCGGCCGATTATTTTTTCGATTAATTGATGAATCAGACAAAAAAATATTTTTTATATTAACCTCTATATTCCAAAATAAACATTTTAGACAGAACAAACAAGCACACAAGTACAGGTTGCTCATTAACTG